CAGTTTCTTGAAGCGGCAAAACAATTCCATGTTCGGACATTTTATCTAGCAAGAAATTCGGCCAACTAGATCCTGAGAATACTGACGGGACACTTTCGCTTCTAGCCAAAGACATTCAATTTTCTTTTTTTTTTAAATTTTTCTTTCATATTTAAAAATTACAAGTTACATATTTCTTCTTGAAGTTTTAAGTTATTATAAATTATTATTATAAATTATAAAGTATATATTTCTTAATGAAATTATAAATTATGAATTTGTAAATTGCAATTCGTAAATTAAATTAAATCCAATAAATAATTAGCGAGACAAAACTTATGGATATTATTTAGCCACACATTTAAAAATTAAAAACACACAAACATTGCACAAACACACATTTACAAACACACACAGCTGTCACACAAGATATATATATATATATATATATAAATGTATACTTTCTTATTGAAAATCGAAAAATCAAATAAAAAAATAAATAAATAAAAATAAGTATAACACATTAATAAACAAATTAACAAATTACTAACGCGCGCATAAACACAAGTAAATATAATGATAACCAAAAATAAAATAATAAAAAATAAAGTTAACAAAAAACTTTATGAAATAACCAGTAAACTCCATTCAGATCCACAATTATTTCCACTCAAAGAGCCTCTAGAATAATTTGAAGCATAACAGTTACCGATCTACCCATAATGCATCACTGGCTAACATATATAAACAATCGAAGCAAAAGAAGAAGCACATGTCCTGTGAATTGCGTTTAGGCATGAAACAGACGGTCGTCGCTGGATCTTGATCCGAATGTCTATTTTTAACTTTACATACGCTCTATCCGATATCGACCACTTTAACTCATAAATATCGAATACATAAAGATTATATATATATATATATAAATATATATATATACAAAACCCGGATATAAGATAGTTGTCGGGACCGAAGAAGGTCTCTTTTAAGTTGGCCACCTCTTATATCCGGGTTTGGTCTATTTTATATACATTAACACAGGCTCTAATTTGGGACCAGAGTTTTCTTTATCTCTTATATCCGGGTTTCTCTTATATCCAGGGTCTCTTATATATTTCAATATTATATATATATATATATATATATATATATATAAGGAATTTCATCATCCACAAAATAAAATAAAAATCACCATCATGAAAATAGACTATTTCAGTGACGAAAGATAAGAAAGATATGTCAGTGTTATAAAATCAGACATTAGACTCTATTCAGTGTCGGAACTAGAGGTTTTAAATTTAATATTTAACAAAGACACTAGCTGAAAAATTGATACAGAGCCTATCCATATCGAAGCCTCGGCAGGACAGACTGCACGAGTGGTGGTAAGGAGAGGGTGGAAGTTATCTGTCATAAAAGGAAAGATGCTCCACAAATTCAACGCAGATATTAACCTTAAGACCCCCAACTGGACTTATAAGAAAGATGAAGTGAATCTTTCACTGTCGAAAAAGCAAATTCTTCTCCTAAATATAACTTTATGTCTCGCATTTATTGTTTGTGGAATTCCCTTCATTTTACTTGATTTTGTTTTATAGTCTAAAAATATTAAAATGTAATGTCAAACGACATTTGATACATTGAATAATTCACCGTCCTTCTCTTTATGCTACCCTCAATCACGTCCCTTTACCCTTTCCTGTTATAATGATAGTGGCACTCCTGCTTTTTGTTTATACATGAAATGCTCAAAAAACAAAACAAAAAACATGGAGTCGAACGTTGCTGAGAATCTTATCAACCTCTTACCACCAAGGCATATACTTGAAGTGTTACCAGGTAATCCATCCATCGATTGAATAAAAAGGACCATAAAACAACTGCAAACGAGAAGTCCTCTGGTAACGATGGCATACCAAAAGAGATAAACATATGTAGCATCAATCTCCTCATTCGTAAAATTTGTAATCTCCTTTCTTTGATTTGAAATTCAAGATCAATTCGTCAGGAGCTTAAAGACGCGTCTATTGTTCATCTTTATAAGCAGAAAAAGAAATACATGCGAATAATATGACAATCTTTCTGTGACTGATGGGAAAATTCATGGCTGGTCCTCATAAACAGACCTGTGTCATTTCTGGCTGAGTCAGTCTTTTCTGAATCTCAGTGCGGCTTTCGGCGCATTGTCGACATGGCTTTGAGGCAACTACACGAGGAAGACAACAACTTCTTTTTTACTTTCGTTTATTTCACTATGTCCTTTGATACCGTTTCAACAGATGCTAATTGAGTCATCATCAGGAAGATGGATGTTTCTGAAATGATGCTCAGTGTCATCATGTCTTTCAATCAGAGGATGACGACGTTCGTAAGATCCAGTGGAGAGTTGTCTGCCCCATTCATTGTTTGTAATGGGATAAAACAAGGTTGTCTTCTTGCACATTTGCTTTGTATTTTTTTTTATCCTGCTGGAAACAGCATTTCAGAATGTTAAAGAAGGTATGAGATTTAAATTTTAAAC